TTAAAGCTGCAGTCCGTAACTTTTTTTGGTTAAAAATTATCCAAAATCAGTATTTGAGCAAGTACATAACCAGCCAGTGTTCAAAACTATTGCCTTACTTTAGCCCGATTCACTGAACGGTTAGCTTATAATAATTCTTTCTAATTTGAGAGGTACGGGTAGGTTTTCGCGGGAAATTCGAGCATGCTGCTGCATCATTACGTAATTTCTGTAAACATAAAGAAGTTGTCCCGGCTACTAGACTATCCCATGTGAGGATTCTGCAGGTGGCCGATCGTTTGTAGCCTTTTCTCACAGCAGCCAGAATAATTAAATATCAAAAAATCATTTTGATGGCGAATTGTAATCCAGAAAGGATTATATGAAACACATGTGAATGAAATTAAATTATATTCCAGTTTTAAATGTGCTTCTGATTACAGATAGCCTGGGATTACAAGTTAGACTGTACAGAAATTGAAATCTACACACACACACTGTACTCATAGTCATGCAATGCTGATGTTGTTAACATTAATAATCTGAGAATAAAGTATAACAATAATAATAATTTGCACGGTTTGATGTGATATGAGCTAATCGATCGTTAGATTAAATCACCATTGGTAGCACGATTTATTGTAATGCTTTTTTCCTCAGTTGGTCAGAACAAACGTGGCAGACTTGTTACTTACTTGTTCAGATGACAATATCCGGTGAAAATTCTTATTTGGTTCATATATTCCAAGACGTAGGCTAGAATCTATGATTACTAAGTATAGGATTCACATCGGTGCGGTGACTGACTGCCACACATACTCCTCAAAACATTAGATTCATCCGCGCTGGAGCCGTGCCGACTCGCAACCTACGCGAGCTAGATAATTCCGCACAGCGACAAAGAGGCAAAACTTACAGACTGCAGCTTTAAAGAATTTTTATGCTTTTGAAAAAAAGTATCTTATGCTCACCAAGGATGCATTTGTTTGATTTTGAGAAAAATTACAATTTAATTTTGTATTGTAGTATTTTTTTTTTCAATGTAATTTATTCCAATTTAATGCATCCATGCTTAAAACCCCAAACCTTTGACCAGTAGTGCACGCTTATAATCTTTTTACATATTTCTTGTTTTCTTTCTTTTATATAGCTGAGCAAAACTGGAGGAAAAGATGAAGATTAAAGTGATGCTTGAGAAGAAATGATGGATTGAAGTAGCGTCGGATGAATGTATGGATGAAATGTCTCTGTGCACTTGTTTTTTTAATGAAAGCTAAACATGAATTCTCTCCGGCCATGATTTCAATTCACCTGGAGCGGCCACAGAGCCGATTTGACAATGAGTGCAAGGAGCTCTGTCTTCACAAAGACACGTGTCCTCAGAGCCACACTAGCGTGTGCTAAATTAGCTAAGCCACACATGAACATCAAGAAAACTAACACCGGTTAAATGCTTGTATTTTTGGATCTGCTAGAACAGATGGGTGTGACTTAATAAACCTAACATCAGTGTGATGTTTCATCTAGTGAAATTTCCTTTTGAAAATTGTATCATGGATAGTTAAAAGGTGCAGTGCAGAGAATTGCTGTCAGGGGTTACTGAAATAAAACAAGTATGATTTAGCTGGTCATGTGATCTCAACATGGCAACCCTCATTAGGCCTCCCGCTCAAATTAAAACGGCTAAATAAATACTAACCATCTATTTGGGGGTTAAAAAGTGAACTTTCAAGTTTTACATTTTGATGTTATTTGTGAAAAATATTTTATGGGTGTGTGTTTTTAAAGAAATAAAGTGTTTTAAAGCACAGTCCTTTGTAGATAGAACAGTGCCGCTCTTTTTTAATGTGAAAACATTGTGTGTAAGGGCTTTAAGAAATATGTCAACATAGTGTAATAGGGATCTGGATCAGAAAGGTTCTTAAAGCTCTAAGTTTTGATAGATGGTGTGCTAAAATTTCAATCTTGTGTTTAAAGTTCCTGTCTTTATTACACGTTTAAGGCTATAAAAAATAGTTTGTACCCAGAAGTGAGACATAACTATAGTATACATCTATAATATAGTGTAAATTATCTTAAGTTTGAAGCTTGAACACATATCAAGCATCATTACAAACATGAACTACTTTTATATAAAAAAAAAAAAATCATAAGCCAGCGTTGTTTATAAAAATACAACATATCTAAAACCATGATCTCCTTAGCGAGTGTCAGACGTTTCACCTTTTTTTTAACCCTATGAAAGTTGCAGCTTGAAACACGTTAATAATCGAGACGTGCAGATTAAATACAGCATTAACATATTAAATTATAAGTTCGGTAACACTTTCTATGAAGCCCGTATTTATAATACATTATAAGGGTATTCTTAAGGCATTATAATGAATGCATAATGCATTATAAAAAAACTTATAATATGTTGTATCATCTCATGAATATTCATAAGAACAGTTTTAATATATTATAATATTTACTTATTTGTGGTTATAGCTTTTAAGAGTATGATGATTTATAACACAATGAACACGTTGCATCCACTTTTACAATGGATTATATTTCTCATAGTTATAATGTATTATAAGTCTCATATCTTGCCATTTTTCTTATGCTACTTTACTTAAAGCGGTCAAAGACCACTTATAAGTAGTAATAATAATAATAATAAAAAAAATTTCTCTCAACCAACCATAAGATCAGATATCAGATCAGATGTATGTGATATCAGTTTGATTATTTTGATGGTACCCTTTAAACAGCTGTTGATAAGTGACTCTGCAACTACATATCAACTAGCGGTCATGTTAGGTCTGCTACTGTAAATATTTGCTAACACTTTATTTTGATGGCCAACCAACAGATAAACTGATTATAAGTGTCTTTGCAAGTACGTCAACTTATTCTACCATACTAGATTCTACCATTCTTGAGCATACTAATACTCTAATGAGAGTTAGTTGGCATGTAGTTGCAAAGTTGCTTATAGTCGATTGATTAAGGGACCATCAAAATAAAATGTAACCATATAAAACATTGCATTTTTTTCCGTTGGAGTATTAAGCTCACATCAATTAATTAACATTAGCTCCACAGGAAACACTCAAATAACACTCAACATCTAACCACTCACAAGCTGTAGTAAGATACTATGCAGATCTTAAATAAACAATGTGAAGATATGATACAGTCCATTATTCTGTAAATGAAGTAGATTTAATATGGTGTTCATTGTGTGTTATAAATAATCATACTCTTAAACGTATAACCACAAATACGTAAGTATTATGATGTATTATAACTGATGTTATGATTATTCATGAGATGATACAACATATTATATGGGCTTCATAGAAAGTGTTACCATAAGTTCTGAAAAGAATGAAACAAAAATTGTCATCCTTTTCCCCCAAAACAAATTCAAAGTCCATAATATTCTGAAGGGTCATTATATTGTTAAGGATTTCTCCATGGCTTTAGCATAGGGTTTAAATCTTTTTTGTTCAATAGCATTAAGGATTCGTGCAGTGATTTCCATTTCTAGCACAAATAAGTTATATTTTGAAATAAGCTTTGGAAATGTTTGTTTGTGAATAGTGTTTGCCACACGAAATCACAACATCTTGCTTCTGTGCACTATTTTGCTGTGTGACTAGAAGGGTTAAGGCTAGATGGTACACAGTTTCGTCTGCTGGGCGTGCGCACATTAGTATAGTGTAATTTTTGTCACACTAGGACTAGCCCTGCGTCTCAATGTTCATACTATCCATCCTAAATAGTATGTGAGATTAGAATAGTGTGTCCCAAAGCATAGTATGTTGAAAAGAGTATGCCAAAAGTCATACTATGGTCTACTATTTTAGGTCGATTTTTGAAGTGTGGATCTGTGCACACTCTAATGGCTAAAATTGCCCACAATCCATATGCGCTTTGGCGAAGGATTCGGTCCAGAACTACAAACACGAATAAAACGCGTTAGAAAAACTACAAACGTGGCGGATGCGCGCGATCGACGGTTAGGTAGAGAGGTTTACAAAAATGGGTTTGAGTTACTAATAATCAACATTTAACCTGGTAAAAAATATTTATTTATCGTTATCCGTGTTATATTTCATCTGCAACAGCAATGTGAACTTTTATAAACATCCATTTGGTCGTTAACTTTTAAATGCATCATTATGCAGAAAATATGAAGATGATTGACAGGCCAGTTTACAGTGACAGGGTGCGTGTAACAGGTGCGACAGTTAAAGACGTGATAGTGTGTGCCAAAGCTTGCCTACTCTTCTACTAAACACTCAAAAGTGTGTACTTTTTCTTCACCAAAAGAGTACATATTTTAAGGGCGTAGTATAAGTAGGCACATTGAGATTTTTTTATTGCAAACAATTCAGAGATGACATTAATGAAATACAACTTTGCATACATTACACATAATGTGTCAACAATACAAGTAGGCACATTGAGACGCAGCATAACAGGACTAGAAGCTGATGATGTGGGTCTAGACTTTTTCCGGGTTCTCTCTTCCACTGTTTCTTGCTTCTTGTACACATGTAGAATTGTGCCGCCCCTTGCAGGACTGGAGACGCACTGTGTGCATGCATGCAAACGGACACCATATGCATATACAGGACAGTTTTGTATAGACACGTATCTTTACAAACGCTTTTTGTCCTGAGGATTTTTCTGCTTTTGAATCCGAGTCGCATTTGACCGTGTGGTGCAGCGCTGCGAGGTTACAACTTTAAGAGTGGGATGTTTCTCATAGCAGTGATAAGAATGAGGAAACGCCAGTAACGTTAGCTGTGAATGTAAGCACAGCTCAAAGCTCACGAGTCTCTGGACACTCCCGTCCGTGTCCGTGTTCATCCGTGGACGAAGGTCGACGGTCGACGGTCACACGGCTGGGCCGATGGGAAATCACTCACAGTCCAGCACCACCTCGCCAAGTAAGTACATACCCGTGCAAGGGCAGACTAATTGATGAAGACCTTCTCCGGCAAAATGACAATCAGGCGTATCATATCAGTTTGTTTGTGGCGCACTTGGGTGAATGCAGGGGTTGTGCAAGGTGCGGTTTGTCAATCATAAAGTTATTGGCAGATGACCTGGGACCCATGCATTCCCCGTATATCGAGGATCAATATTTGGGAATTTGTTAGTCCATGGTCGTGCGAACAGATGCGTTGACTCCTACATTAGCGTTCCCCTGGAACTCTCATCAGTTTTAAAGCTCAACATTGCTTAGAAATTGCATTGCTCGGGTTGCTAATTGCTCCGGAGATTTGATTGAATTCTGTTTCATTTAAGTAAGTTCGTTTGAAGGAATATGAATTGACATCGATGAGACCATTATTTACGCATGTCACACAAGGAAGTCTTGATGTTGCTTTAGTACAGCAGTTCTATGAACGCTATATTTATATAAAGTTGTTGTTAATATGGAGTGATTTGCATGTGGCCAGTTAGTACATATGTTTCTTCTTTGCCAGTGAAAATATTTCTAAAGAAGCCAAAACATGTAACTTTTTGTGTCACCAAGCTACACAAACTGAAAAGCTGGACTGGAACGGAGTATATGAGTGGAGCGGAGCGAGAGAGATTCCTGACTCAAAGCGTTCAGTATCACTCCGCTCTATTTCCGCTCCATTATTTTCTAAACTATAAAGCGGCCCAACCATTGGCCTTGGTTCCCGAGTTTTTTTTTTTTTTTTTTTTTCTTTCCATAAAGATTTTTAAAAATTCCTTGAGAGGCTGCATTCACACTACCAACTACCGTCGCCATGTTTCCAGTGGCTGGCAGCCAGTTCGTCTACACTCTAAAAATAAAGAAAGTAAATAAAAAAAATAAGTAAATAAAAAAAATAACGCAACAGTTTGCGTATTTTTTTTTTCTTCTGAGAACTTCTAATGAAAATATGTTTAACCAACAACTACATTGAGTTAGAATAATAATGTGTAATATAAACATTTTTAAAAGTTGATTACTCAGAAAAAAAATAAAATAAATAAAAATAAATAAATAAAGTTGCTCCAAGTATTGGATTTCCTGGAACCATTTAACATGATCTTTTTCAGTTCAAGTCCACGGCTATATTAGTATGGAGGACTAAACCTGCAAAAACAATAAATAAATAAATACTCCATATATTAGCACATGAGCAATGTAACTTATTTAGCATGTATATTTAATGAACAAGTAAGATGTTTCTTGCACTGGCATTAGCAAAATCTTTGTATGTAGCTTCAATGTAGTGTTTCCCTTAATGTGGTCTACTCTTCAGCACAATGTTAACCACAAAAGCTTCAACATTACAGAAACTCTTTCAAATGTCAAACATAACAGCATTAAACACAGGTCTTTCCCTTCACTAAAAAACACATTAAATAACGCTTAATTTCAACATTTACTCTCCTTGTCCAGTCTGAGTTACTACAACTTAATTTTTGAAGAAATTCAAGTGATGCAGAAATTTGAGTTTACATTATAGGCTACACAATATTAATGATCAATATTATTATGTCAAGATAACTCAACACATAATGTTGGCAACTTTAAAGGTTGAATTAAATGATTAAATTAGAGTTTTTAACTTGCCACCATTCATTCATTTAATTTGTGGTAACAGGTCCTCTGAATCATTTTTAGAGTGTATTTATGAATGATTTATGGATGTTACTCCATGTTGTAGACAACAAATCAGTTTTCTTGCTGCTACAGACATTTTTGTAAGGTAAAAAACAAAAAAGAAATGGAATCAAGAATGGTTGATCACAATGCAAACAGGGTAATCAAGCCTCTCATGTTATAGTTGTCACGATCACAATAACAACATCCTGGATCAACACTGTTCATGTACCACAGTGTAAGATTACATTAATTTACATTTAACCAGTTTAATATGGAGAGGCAAAACCTTCGTTTGTGTTTTTGACCTACACTGTACATGACGTGAGAACAGTTTGATATTTAGGTTTGTACGTTAGCATGGACGCACTAACTTTAACGTTAGCTAGTTTTAGCCAGAGATTCCTTGCTGAAGAACAACATGACATTAACGTTCTGATTGCCTTGAGCAGATGAAAATGGTAACTTAATGAGAGTATGACAAGCAAAAATTGAAAGTTTTTCCTTCATTTGGGATTGGAGTTGAATGCTTACAGACATTTTGCTCTGTTTTGGTTGGATTTAGAAAATGGAATAAAATAAATTCCATTGCCCATCCTCTCAGGATACCTGGAATCAGTGTTACAAGTACCCCAGGCACATCGTTTCTCTATTTTTGTAGCAAACACCATCAAACCGCTTCTGAGAAGAGCTTTGGATCTTCCAGTGATTCTCTATGGCGCTGAAACCTAAAGATGTCTGAGTTCGAGGGGAGGGGCTTACCGATAGGTCAAATGTGATATTAAAGAGGTCTTTCAGATGATAAAACATGAGTCTCTGTTAATGCACACAGTATCCTAATGCATGTGTTGTCAACATTGTTCTAACTTGCATTCTGACTGCTGATCTAAATTACATAATACTAGAGCCAGGAGTGTGGTATGCAGTTTTTTTTTTCCTTCAGTTTTTTTTATTAAGCCGTTTGGATCAAATACAATAGAAACCATATCAAATTTCTCATCACGCCTATTTATGCCTGGAACGTCACAAGCAGCAGCTGTTGTCTAAAAGGGCAGCATCCCTGGATTATGATGTTACAGATAAACAACAGTCACATGTAGGCCTGTCGCAATAATCAATATATCGACTTATCGCGCAATATATGTACATGACCTCAATAATTTTTGGTGACGCAATATATCGCCCATTATATTTACTTAAAAATTAATGTCACCATGTTTTGTACGTTCCACTTGCGCCAGTGTCTTTTGCAGCTTCTCCTACATAACGTGGTGTAGTTGGTGCTAGTTCAAATTTAAATAATGCTTCTACAAAAAAAGTTTCATCTGCAGATTTGGTCTTGTTTAGGGATCTGTACCTTTGTGCATACGGACATCTGACTGCTAAGTAGTGATTGTGTTTTTCAGCAATAGTGTGCACCTTTAACTTACAGAGAAAAGAAGGTCAGGAAAAAATCTGTAGATGGAAAAATCTCCATACAAGTTCTTTGTGCAATTTTCTTTTTT